AAAAACGAAGTCCAGATGACATGATTCAACCTTTTTTGTTGTTATATACCTGGATGACTGAGAAAACAAACTTTGTGTTTTTGAAACCATTAGTGAAAAGGCCAGACTTCAGGGGTATCTGAGGCAGGCTTGAAACACAACAGTCAGGGTGGCTTCTGGGTAATACCAGATGGCTAGGCCTCAGACTGACGAAGCCTCTTGGACGAGGGGCGAAACGTTTCTTTTTAACAAAAAAACGAAGTCCAGATGACATGATTCAACCTTTTTTGTTGTTAACTAATAGTTTAGTTTTTCCTGTGACTTATTTGTAGTATGATAAATGGTAGGAGCATAATATACGCTCCCAATGTTTTTTTTTTGGTCTTTTTTTGTAAATAATTACTTTTTTTGTGGTTTTATTTATTTATTTTTGCATCTTTAGATCCTATGATGTCATCAAGTACTCAAGTTCAACTCGAGTTTTATTATGGTAATGTCGAGTTTAAAAATTATGTAGTCGTTCAACCCCTAGCAGGTACAATTTACACATCCTACAGTTTAATGATTTTGAATTAATAACTCATCCAAATTTGATTAATGTAATTCTGTATGTTGGTGTTAGCCAGGCCAGACTGACATGATTGAAAATAGTCATGTTGCAGCTTGTCTTTGGACACAAACAAAAGAGTGCAAACATATCCCCCCAGTATTCACTTTCTTTCATTGACTTCCTGTTCATTGCGGAATCAATTTTAAAGTTGTATTGATGACCTATAAGGAGATGAACAGACAGGCTCGTGTGTATCTGTTTGACCTCCTGTAGCCTTATGTGTCCTCCAGATCCCTCAAATCTAATGTTCATTTACTTTGAGTTGTCTCAAGGTCCAGGATGGTCCACAGAGGTGATCAGGTTGTCCCCTTCATATCAGCTGGCTTAAACTTTTGTTTTTTTTATTTTTTCAAAGTCCCAATTTAAACAACATTTGTAGAATTGCATGGGAGTTCACTATTTCGCTTGATCTAATGGTTTCATTTTGTGTCATGTCATGTGTTACTTTGTTTTGTTTTTTGAACTATTAATGTAAAATTATTGTTTTTGTGTGCAGTACTTTCGTCAATGGCAGTTGTTTTTTTTAACAAGCTCAATAAATACTGTACATTTAATTGATTGTCAAGCACGAAACATTTAGTTAATTTCAATATTTTACTTTTATCTAAAATTTCACATCAAATTTAATTAAAAAAGAAGCTTGCTGTATAACATATACAACAAACATAGAAAACAGCATTCTCTAATGTAAGCTTCATGAGCTCTGTAGAGTATAAATTCAAAGCCAGTATAAGCAAATGTATTAGCATTTTCCTTACCTTGCTAGATTCCTTGTCCTTGGGGTGAACAACAATGTAGACCAAAAAAAGCGTTTTGTGAATTCGGTTCTGTTCAAATGCACGGACTTCCTCCAGAAGAACACTGGAAGCTAGCATGTGAGGAAAAGCTAGCAGAGCACCGGTCCCAAGCACTGGAAAAGCAACTGAGCTAAAGCCTCTAATCTCGCAGGAAGACAGAATTTTTCTTATTCCCTGCCTCAGCTCCTGAAAAGAGCACAATTTGTTTGTTGTAGTTTTGAAAACACATTAAAGTTAAAATAATAGCACAGAAACATAAAATGATACATTTCACCTGGACTGAATTTCCATCTTGAGCATTATCCCAGCGGTTTAGGTTAAGGAAGACGACGATTTTGCATTTAAGACCAGGCAAGTTTTCTACAACAACTAATTCTCCTGCCTGCGTTGCTCCTCCTGCCTCCTTCTGAAACTTTGCTGTCAGCTCTGGCCCGACCACACTGGCCAAAGCTTGCCCAACGTTAGTTGAGGCAGGGTTAAGGCCCACCATAGGAGACACGATGGCATCCGCCTAGTCAAGACACACAAAAAGATAATGATCCTAATTGAGCAAATGGACCCAGTGTTTTAGAAACATGTTAGCCACTGCAATATTCTGAATAAGGTATCCATATTCACATTTGTAACTATAATATACTGTATGTGCTAAGTCTTACTTGTTGAGTCTCAATGATCCCTTGAATAATCTTGACTTGGACAGTATTTTCAGTGGCTCCAGCAGTTGCTCCTTCATTCATCTTGAATCTCACATCTCCTGGTGGGCCTTTATTGCTACCTTTTTCCTGGAGAAGTCTGTCACATGCCTCCTGCATGGCTCTCACCACCTCTGCTCTGTTATCTATTAGCATTATGTTGCTCAGACTTCGCCCACACTGACTACCAAACTCCTTAATGGCAGTTACGATAGCATCAGAGCACACTCGAATAGGAACGCCAAACACACCTGAGCTTATGCATGGCATGGCAACAGACTTGAACTCCATCATTTCAGCTAAATTAAGAACATTGTGGACAGTTTTCTCTAGTGTGATCCTCTCTCTGCCACCATCGTTTCCGCCTACAGGTCCAACAGCATGCAGCAGTTTCTTGCATTTTAGGTTACCCCCTGTAGTCACTACCACTTCACCAGTAGGGATCTTTCCAGTCTGTTTTACAATTCTATGGCTTTCTCTCTGCACTTGAGGGCCACCTGCTTTACTAAGTGCAGCTGCAACACCACCAGTGTGATTTAAATCTTCGTTGGCAGCATTTACCAGAGCATCAGCATATTGTTTTGTGATGTCACCTTCACAAACCATCACCTGAAGCCCATGCTGAAGGTTATATTTCACAATATCCAAATTCTGTCTGCTAATGTGAGGCTGTTCTTCAAGCTGGATGAGACATTTATTAGCTTGAGCAACTTGTAATAGACTCTGTCTTCCAGAGTGACATTCAAAAAATCTTGCTGCCCCTGCCAGGTCAAGAGTAACATTGTCTTGAACAATTGAATCCAGAAATGGGCCTAGTCTATTCCTGACCTCTGTCACTTTGTTGGCTGACCCTTCGAGCACCACAGTGGGTTTAGAGGAAGCTGTTACAGGGCTAAAGGTAACTCCTGACAAGTCAAAATTATGTAACTGCAACAACTCTGGTAAGAGTTGAACTAACTCTGGGAAAGGGAGTAAGACCTTTCCTTCTACACTTGACTGGTCCAAAATAAACTCTGTGACGGCATCACTGAGCTCGTCAACCTCTTTAGTGTGGCCAAGTAAACCCACTGTGTTGTCTGCACCAAACACAACTTTAGCCCTGCACTCCTTTTGGTTCATCTCATTTGTCTTGGACTTGAGTTTTTCACGAAGCTCAGACGGAACAACAGAACAGTTAGGAACGTCATATTTAACCTCCTTGAATTTTTTTTCCATCATTTTTTCTGACTCATTTAGTTTGTCCGCATTGTGGGAGAAGAAGTTTAGCACTGTGTCTTGCAACTCTACTTCCACTTTGTCACCAACTCCTAAGACGTCGCAAAGCATTCTTGGACTACCATAGACTTGTTTTAGGAAAGACAAAAAATATGGGGTCTTGTCAGAAATAGTCTTCTTGAACACCAGTTTCTCTTTTTCAGTGATCACTTCCCTAGCCTTTAGGATATCCTCCACAGAGCCTTCCAACAACAGTTTACCTTCATCTGCCTGAGTAGCCTTTACTTCTGGAAGGTTTCTCCCCAAACTGGACTCAATATCTTTCCAGAGGAGGCTAAGTTTGGCCTCCCCAATTCGATAGATGGTAGATTTTGACTCACCTGAGGTTGATCTTCTGTGTTTGACGCTTGTAGACTCGAAGTCTGTTAACCTAGCTTTAACCTGGGAACGTTTCCCGACAACAACAGCAGCTCCAATCTCACTGTACACCTTTACCTCATCAGCACTCTGCTGAGAGCTGCGGGACAGCAGCAAAGCTTTGATTTTGTGAGAGTCTAACTCATAGTGGCTCGTGTAACTGTCAAAGAGCTTATCTACTTCAGATTTCCAGTTACTAACTCCACCTGCAGCAGCAGAAAGCTGGGCCAATTGTCTGACTAAAACTGTATCCTCCTCTGGGTGAAAGTGAGCAGAACAGGACATGGTGGCAAGATTTGTCTCCAGCTCTGTCTTGGCTTTTGGAAATTCCGTCAAGTATCGAAAGACATAAGGGTCCAGCTGTAGTTCATACTTTTCACCACTTGGTGGCAGGTTTGAGAAAAGACTGGACCCCGGATTCTGTAAGAAAAACAATGCAGCATATACATTAATAGTTTTGATCATCATACACTATAGCCATTTTCAATATATATTAAAATATATTGTGTTTGAAATGTACAGCAGATTATGTGAGATAAATGATGGAGACTTGTACATTTTAACTGCTTTAAGAAACATATTTTTTTGTGAAAGTATAATCAATATTTTATCCTTTAAAAACAGAAACTTCACAAGCAGAAACCCTGTATTACACGTTAAAACATTTTAATAACAATAACTGAAACTTGTAAAATATGTGGTCTTTGAATAAAAAGAAAAAAATGTGTGTGTGGGGGGGGGGGGGGGGAATAAAAATCCCATTTATACATGATAAAAATATTTTGTGAAACACATCTGAAAAATGCATTTACCACATGCACAATGTAAATTTTGAACATTTTCAATTAAAAAAAATAAAAAAATTGTGGGGGGTGGGGGGGTGGGGGCAGAATTGCTTTGCTTTGGGAACATACTTTTACATTAATGTCTGGAGAGCCTTTGTTTTTGAATGTAAACATTTGATTGTAAATTGTCTCTTGTAAATGAGTCCCTGAGGCTCAGTGGGATTAACCTGTACAAATAAAGGTTGAATGAATGACTGTGCAATATATTTTATATTCCCTCTTTTCAGAAAGTTTTAGCTTTCATAAATGCAACAAATGTTTTTCAACATTTATTGACCAAATTCAAAGACAAAGTTAAGGGATGTCAGTGAATTACATGTTAAATTTAAATGTATGTAAAATATGTACATAACAAATAGTGTTGGGAACAATACCAAATATTTAAATCTGAAGTAAGTTACAATCGTATTGCATCATGGTTATTGATAATTACTGCCTGCCTTAATGAGAAGTGGGCGATTATGTAATTGCGTTTGCGTGTGCTGTTTTGTTTTCAGGTGATCTGTCCTGCACGACAACTGCAACTGATCTAAAATCAGATAATGTTGCACAAAATCATTTTAAGTTCCATTTAAAGGAGTCAAAATAGGTGACAAACAGAAAAAAAACAACTAAAACAATTAAGTCATTAACATTTTTTATAAGGAACTACTTTTTGGAGCGAATTACTTTTTTTAGAAGCTCGGTGCCCCCTGCCCTTATGAATCTCTTACACCTGTACAAATTAAAGGTTTCACAATTACAGATGGTTTTCCAAACGTACCTGTGCTGATGTTAAATCCTGCTTTGGGTTTGTTATTTTTTCTGGAGTTGGGGCAGTTTTATCCGAGGACTTGCTGGACCCTGGATTGTCTCGTACAGAAAGCACCAAGTTACCATCCGGAAACTCCAGCACGTGCTCCGTCTTCTGAAGAACTCTTTGTTGAGCTGAGGGGTGGGGGTGGGGGGGAAGCCCAAAATGATGAGTGAAGCCAGAAATCTACCTTTATGTTATACTGAAGGTATTTTTACCAACTTGGTTTAACAACAGTAACTTATCAGTTCAATCACGTGGTTATATTGACTCATGAATAAGTGATCTCAGATCAGGGTTGTTCTACTTCACACTTGTGACTGTTTCTGATAGAACATATTTACACCCTCTGATATTTTAGGCTTTTATTAAAATAAATGACTAAAAAAATACAAGATAAACGTCACTGTCAAAATAAAAATCACATTTTTTACAGACTAATGCCATCCATCCATCCATCTATTATCTTTACCCGCTTATTCCATTTTGGGTCACGGGGGTCGCCAGTGCCCATGTCCAGCAGTCATTGTGTGAGAGGCGGGGGACGCCCTCGACAGTAAAATATTACTGTATTCCAATTTAAATTGTTTGTTTAAAGAGAAGGAGGGTGATTGGGAGATGATGAGTGTGATTGCAGCAGAGAAGTGGGCGTGGCAGGGAGCTGACATCATGACATGCTGTGATCTTTTAGAGCATTTAGAGTTTAGAAACATT